GTTTCCGCCTCTCCTTCTTGCTGAGTTTGGGTGTGGTGTCCTGTCCGGGGGATCAGGCATTGATTAGCAGGGTGCGCTTAGACTTGGGAGCGTCCTCGTCCTCCGAGTCGGCGACAGGGCACGCGCTCACCTGGCTAGCTCCATTGCGCACGTAGTAGACGGCGCCGGCGGTTGTGACGACCACGGCCACGCCGGCAATGGTGTAAACCACGGCCTTGTGCTCGGACACCCATGTCGAGATGCGATCCCACAGCGACGAGTCGGCGGGTATTGGGGCCGAAGGGGTCCCCGTGGGGCCTGTCGGAATGGTACCTGTCGGCGCCATGACGATGTTGATTGTGGCAGATGCTATGTTGATTGTGGGAGATTCAGAGGGGCTTGTAGACATGGATCGATGGAAGAATCCCGCTGTGCCGATACCCAAGCAATGGCGAGATGTTGGTGTGAAGCGACGCGGTGTTTCGCTAAACAACTGGAACAGCTCGATGATGCAGGTGTGCCGAAGCTGGACTCGCCTGGCAGGCTTGCTCGGCCGAAGCTTGGAACAAAAAAAATCGACGCATGGACCCGGACGCGCCCAATGGGGCGCCCAATTGCGTCGCTGCAGTGGGACCATCGCGCTGTTTTTCCGAGCTGCCCGCCTGCCCGGGCCCTGTTGAGCTTGGCACAGGCCTGTGACCCTGGTCCCGTAACCCGCGAGCTTCGAATGGAACGTGTTGACAAGGGATCTCGTAGCTCTCATCGTGTACGTACTAGTTGAAACACAGAGTTTCAGGTTGCCAACATTTACCAGAGTATTCAGTATTCACACCATTGAGCCGGCCGTTGTTCAAACTCACCTCCACTCGCACCAGTCTCCGCGAGGTCCCCTTTCACACATCCACACCTCAAACCTCGACAGCAATGGACGATGACTTCCAACTCTTCTCTTCCCTCCGCTATGACCCGGCACTGTTGGAAGTCCCAGCCAGCAACCTCACCCATGCCGGGTGGAACTGGACCAACTCATCTGCCCTCTACATGCTCGATTACCATCGCGACCGCATGCTGCGAGCGGCCTCTCATTGGGGCTGGGATGCCGCTGTAGAGATTCTCAAGGGGTTTTCTGGTCTGATAAACCTAGAAGGCTATATCCTGAGCAACATTGGCGATAATCAACCGCCTCCATCGAGAGTCAGGGTAGCCATCACAAGAAACGGCGAGCTGTCGATAAGCTCTGGCCCGGTTCCAGAGTCGACCCTCGCAAACCTCTTCCCAAAACGGCTCCCTCCTCCGGAAGGCACCCAGAGCAGCGGACTGACCGAAGACGGCCCCTCCAAGTCTCCAGCCTACGAGATCCTCGTGGACAGCCCGACGACAGCCCGCTCGGAACACACTCACTTCAAGACGACGAAGCGGGCTGTCTATGACGGGGCCAGGCAGCGGGCACAGATCGGTCTTCCCGACAAGAAGGAGGTTCTCATCATCAGCGAAGCGGACGGCGCTGTCATGGAAGGGTCCACCACGACGCCCTACTTTTGGAGGGGAGGAAGATGGGTCACGCCGGCAGTGAGCAAAGAGTACAGCCGAGAATACGGCAGTGGGGGCCAGAGTGGTACATCGAGGAGGTGGGCGCTCGAGAGGTCTGTGAACTGTACTCCTCTGGGCCAGTCAGAAGCTCATCACTAACATCACGCAGAGGGATTGCCGTTGAAGACACCATCCTGGTGAACTCGCTCGTTGATGGCGAGGAGTGCTGGCTGAGTAACGGGGTGAGGGGGTTCTTCTTTGGCAGAGTCAAGCTGAACTGACTTGTCCTGTGCGGGGCCTCTATAATCAACCCCCTCTCAACCTCTACCTGGTATTACTCTATCGACAAGGTGTAGCCTGTTTGGAACGAGCAACATTATGGCCACCTATTTCCCCGGAATAGCGGGGATGCATAAAAGTCCGCAGTGTTGAATGGTCCGCTGAGATCGGAGACACGGAAAGTGGCATCAATCTTGGAAGAGGACGAGGTCTTGCCTGGGGGATTTCAGTTTTTGCCAAACATATTTCCTCCGACGAAACCCCCAAGAGCCGAGTTACTCCATCGAGGCGTCCGTCCATCAGACAACATAGCGTAGCTCAGAGCCATCGTCTCACACGTCGACTGGCTTCCGCTTCGATGCCGGGGCCCTCGGTATCGTCAGGGCGCCACCAAAGCCCATTCAGTTTCAAGCAAGAGCATGAGGTGCGCCTCGCAAGAAGGCTTGATCCTGTGACCGTCCTCACTGAGCCATCAGCCCGTACAGCAGGAGCGGTCTGGGACGGCTCACACCAGCCGGTACCTGCCGACGCAGGCCATCGCAAACTTCTCTTTGCCGTGCTTGCCCGCGTGCCACGAGACCCCCGTCTCCGTCTCCAGGCTGCCTTCATGGTGAGCCGAGCAAATCCATGACTCCCTCCTCGAGCGCCCCTTTCGCCATGGCAGGAGTTGTCTGACGAGGCAAGGTCGTCTGCGTTTCCGGGCACCTTTCCGCCCTTTGCACCTCCTACAACCGATGGCTGTTCGAAAACCAGCGTCTGGTGACCGTCCAGAGTCAGATTGGCCGTCACAATGCTCTGTCATGCTTGCCAAGTATGCCAGCCAGTACTGTCACGATGACAGCTCGTCGAGACTGTCCCTTCCCTTTGCTGGAATCGGACTGACGGCTCTCCCTCCCTACTTAAACCCGCCTCCTCGCTGTCTCGAGATCCTCCATTCCCACCCTCAACCAAACCCGATCATTCCATCCAGAACTCGGCCCCTTTTCAAGACACGCTCACAACTTTCTCCGAATCAACCTGCGTCTCAACACTCTCATTGTTCCTACCCTTGACCAACCTCCCTCACCAGAAAGCTGCCCGCGTTTCACAATGCAGGACATGGAGAACATGGAGAACATCTTCCGCATCCAGGCGCAGCTGCGCAAGGATCTCTCTCTTTCCAGGGTCAGGGCCGTGCCCAACAACAAATACCAACGCCATGGCACCAAGTCCTACGTCTCGGTGCTGAACCGGTACGGCTTCCAGCCCACCAAGCCGGGGCCGTACTTCCAAAAGTTCGTCCAGTCCAGCGATGCCCCCGGCAGGCCTGCTGCACCGGGAGTCAAGCCCGGACATGTCTGGGAAGGCCTCTTCAAGAGGGTCAAGGACCAGGAGAAGCCGGGAGAAGTCACGGCCGAGGACCAGCAGAACGATTCCGAGTACCTCTGCGAGGTCACGATCGGCACGGACAAGACCGGTAGCCAGCAGAAGCTCATGTTGGACTTTGACACCGGCTCTGCCGACCTTTGGGTACGTATGATTCCTCGAGACATGCCGGCACGCGCCGATGCTAACAGCGACGTGACGCAGGTCAGCGGGGAGAAGTTCGACCACACAAGGTCGGCGACGTTCGAGCTCGCAGAGGACAAGACCTGGAAGATCCAGTACGGCGACGGGAGCTCGGCCTCGGGCATCGTCGGCACCGATGTCCTCTCGATCGACGGCATCCTCATCAAGAAGCAGGCCATTGAGATTGCAACCGACATGTCGGCGCAGTTCAGCGAGGGCAAGATGGACGGCCTCCTCGGCCTGGGGTTCCGGAAGCTCAACACGGTCCGCACGAACGGCAAGGCGGATCCCCAGCTCACCCCGATCGACAACATGATCGTCCAGGAAGAGATCCCCCCCGAGGCGGAGCTGTTCACCTCGGCCATGTACAGCAACAGGGACGAGGACGAGCGGTCGTTCTACACGTTCGGCTGGATCGACGAAGACCTCGTCAAGGCGTCCGGCGAGGAGATTGCCTGGACCGACATCGACATGACCGAGGGCTTCTGGATGTTCCCGAGCGAGCACGCCACCATCGATGGCGAGAAGATCTCGCTCGAGGGCAACAAGGCGATCGCCGACACGGGCACCACGCTCGCGCTGGTTTCGGACAAGGTCTGCGACGCGCTGTACGCCAAGATCAAGGGCGCCAAGTACGACGAGGAGTACCAGGGCTGGATCTTCCCCCGGAACATCAAGGTCGAGGACTTCCCCAAGCTCAGCATTGCCGTCGGCGGCAAGGAGTTTCTCGTCCAGCAGGAGGACCTGATCTTTGCGCCGGCCAATAAGCGGTTCTGGTATGGCGGCGTGCAGTCGCGCGGCGAGAACCCCTTTGACATTCTGGGCGACGTCTTTCTCAAGTCGATTTACGCGGTAAGCTCAGCAGGATGCGGGGATTGACTGACTGACTGATTGAATGACTGACTGTGGTACAGATTTGGGACCAGGGCAACGGCCGCTTCGGTGCCGTGCCCAAGATCGAGGCGTTTCAGCAGGCGCCAAAGTACGACATGGGTCCTCTGTCGGAGGAGGACCGCAAGAAGCTGGGCATCAAGCAGGCGTACGGGGACATCTCCAGCAAGTTTCCGCGTGATGAGTGAGCGGTGTATGGCTGTCTTGCTTTTCGAGGCTTTGTATGGGTACTAGTATTATCCTGTTATGGGTCAGGGCAGAGAGTAGAGTTGTACCCTCCACTCCGTCGACGTTGATTTTTTCTGTTTCGTTTGCTGTTTCCAGTCCTGTAGTTTAGGCGCTTGTCAGAAAGGCCAAAAATTCTGTTACTCTTACTTTGCCGCTGAAACTCAAGTGTAAAGTCTCCGCACCAATCTCCTGCTGCCCCCAACACCCCATTATCCATGTTTGGTTTCTACCAGACGTGTGAGACACGGACAGGGAGACTCGAGGTACGCCGGAAGGCACAAAGGACTCACTGGGCGAGCAGGGCCTCGCAATGCCAGCGGCGTTTAGCTCAACTTGATCGCCATACCATTCAAGCATGACAGCAGCCGAAAGACGGGAGGTGGGAGAAGATGTTGTCAAGGAGTTACCACTCCTACCAGATAACATAAAGTAATGTGTGGGAAAACACAAGATGTAAAACACATCAAAAAGAAACTTGCCTACCTTGTTTGTTTGTGCCTTGCGAGTAGGTACCTGAAGCAGGAAACCGGCAAAAGATATCACGCTGACAAGGGTGAGATTCGAACTCACGCCCCATTACTGAGACCAGGAAAATCTTTCAAGATTGGAAATTCAGGTGGACCTGAACCTGGCGCCTTAGACCGCTCGGCCACCTTGCCGTGAAGTGGTGTGGATATTGGATTGTGGTGTGGAGTGAGGGTTTATTTACCTTCCTGCTAGGGAGGTGGGTTGGGGTTGTAAGATGGGCTTTCATTCATTCTCCACTTAGGGGGGACGTGGATGAAACTTGGGTCTTGAGTAACCTTGCTGTATGAAGGGAGTCAGAGAAGTAAAAGGGGGGTGAAGAGTCAAAGGTATATGTACCTAAGTGATGCTGAAGACTGACACACTTAAAACGGCTCAAACCCTGCCTTGTCACTCCGGAAGGGGAAAACATGTCATAGAAGCGAAAGAGAGTAGAATCGAGGTTATCTTACTGGAGGCTGTTCCCCGTCTCCTTCTTTCGACTCGACCACAAGTATATCAAGCTTCTCTCTGCCGCCGGGATTTCATGGGTGTGATCAAGAGACAAGTGCGCCTTTGACTAGTCCCAAATCACAAGCAGGGATATATTGAAGAATGACTCTTCTAGTCACACACATCAGGGGCTCGAAGGGGTCGATCTCCTTCTCAGGAACCGCGCCGTTTCCTGGAACACTTGTTCAAAAGCCGCAGATAAAGGAACAGGAGGCGAAGGGCTCTGACATGTTTATTGTATAACAGCCCCTTCGGAGCCAGCACCCAATGTCCTTTTTGCGCCCCTGGGCACACAACAGCGACGAGACGGCCGAGGATTGAACGCCCACTGAGCACCAATCAAAGACGGCCGACCGCGTGAACCTGAGACCAATGTCGGCCTCTGCAGCCTTTTTGATAGCTGTGTGAAAGGCAGCAGCTGAGAGAGTGCATCGGGCAGCCTTGATACCTAGCTCTACTTCTTTGACGTGCCAGCAACTCATAGGGCGGCCCCTGGAGACCACGAAGTCGGTGACACCCTCCATACACGATGTGAAGCGAGTGGCATCACGGAATGCGCTCGTCATGTCGGCCTGGGGAGCTCTGGTGGAACTGGCATGACCCTGAGGCTGACTCTTTCCGGGCCCTTGGAAATCCGATCTAGGCCCGGCAGCTACAGGCATTTGGTGCATGACCTCAACAAGACGTGTTCCGGTCAGGGTTATCCCGATCGTCTCATGATTTTGGTGGCGGGTGCATTCAAAGGTGCTGACACGATTGGTTGGTGTCTGTCCAAAACCCCGTCGTCGGTCGACACAGACTTGACGCGGTCCTGGACGCGACACGATGGCCCGGAATCGTCTTTGGCTTGCCAGGCAGCCAAAGCCCTGTGCATCATCGCGGACCCCCTCCTCTGGCTGCGCGAAGCGTGGCGGTCGCCGAGCCTAAAGTCATGAGACGCGGCGTCCAATTGGTCCCGTGTGGTTGCACATGCATGAATTTTCAGCGAGAACGACTGCCTGGATGCAGAGGGGCATGCTTTGCATTTGCATTTGGGAAGAAATGGCCACGATGGTTGATAGTGAAGTCGAAGCAAGGAATCGGGAGCAGGTCCACGGGTGTTGGGAGTTGGGGAAGAGTTCAATCCCTGCTGAGCCGGGCCGCATTGGTGGGGAGATGTCTTCATACCAACAGAGCTAACCAGAAGCGGTGAGGCACTATTCCGACCATGCACTTTACCATAGCAGTCAGCCCGAGCCACCCGCCCTAGGTCTGCTTCCAGGCTCAATTCAACTCCATTCCGTGAGGAGGAGTCTTAAAAAAAAAGACAACGACATCTGCCGCGCAGCCTCGTTGATTCAGAGGCCCTGTACGAGCCCTGGCGCCCCAATTCGCGTCTTTTTCAGGAGCCGTCCTCGCAAGCACCAGAGCAGCAAAAGGCGTCGCCTCTGCTGCTCCATTAACGTTAACGTTAGCCCTTTAACACTCCCACCTCATTCCTGCTGCGCCTGGGAGCACGGTCGCTTTCGCTGGCCTGGACAGCCCTGCTTGGGATTTTGGTTAGACGAGCACTTCCTGGAGCCCCAACCCAGGGTGTCCCATCCAGAACTGGAGCTGCACTTTGCACCGCTGCTCTCCTCACGCTCACGCTTTCTTTCTCGGCACTGCTTTGGCTTTGCACGCCCTCTCCCCGAGTCCTGACGTGCACTGCCTTTCCGGCTTTCACCATCGGTTGATTCGACAACCGCAGGACGGTTCCGGCCGCAGGCTTCTCTTCGCCTTTTCGCTCCGCGACCGAGATAGAGCGACCACCAACCCCCCCCCGACGCTCGACATCCTCCACACCCGCGACGCATGATCGAGCGGCGTCCACGTCATCGCAGCTCCCCGCACCTCCGCGCCTAGGTGCCACCCGGTCCCTCTCCCTACCGACTCAGCGCCGTCCGGGGCCCGCTTCCACACACAATGGCCGCAGCGGGCACAAGACGCAGGAAGGTCATCGGCCAGCGCCGCCGCGTCGAGGACGAGGCCGAAGACGAGGGCGGCCCCGAGCTGGCCGACCTCGACGATGACTCGGTGACGGATGGCTCCATCGGCACCGACGAACACGACCCCGCCGATGACAGCGATACGAGCAACATCGACGATGCGTCGCCAACGTCGCCCAACGCCCGGAAGCCCCTGGGCAACGGCCACGCGAAGCCCGGCTTCCGCCGCCGGACTGGCTCGGAGCCCCTCAAGAGCCCGGCCGCAAAGCCAGTCCAGCCCGCAATCGCCGACGCCGAGTCCATGCTGAGCAGGCTGTCGCTTGCCGATAAGGAGAATGGGGGCGGCGAGATGCACTTTGACGATATCAAACACGCGCCGCCTGCTAAGAACGCGGCCCCGATTGTCGTGAGTTCAAGCGCCGCCACCCAGCAACAACCGCGGCTGCCGCAGCAGGAGGTAAAACGGCGGGAACACGAGGAGTACAGGCGGAGGAGGGACGAAGACCCAACCTTCGTCCCCAACAGAGGCGCCTTCTTCTTGCATGACCACCGGCACGCTGGCCCTGCCGCGAATGGCTTCCGCCCCTTCCCCAGGGGAGCCCGTGGCCGCGGGCGAGGGACGTTTGGAAACCACTTCGCTCCCATCACGTATGTCGAACCGCCCTTTCCTCACCTTGCGGCTGACCCTGCGCTGCCGATGCTGACCGCTCCTTCCAGCCAGGTACACAATGTTCCGGACCCCGTCACGAACGGGCTGTGGAAACACGACATGCACGAGGTAGTGGCCGCGCCTCAACCCCCGCGGCAGACCCGTTACCTGCCCAACAACGAAGGGCCCCCGAACGGGAACGGCGTCATCTCAACTGCACCGACGAGCCAGTCGCCGATCAACAGGGCCATGTCGACCGAAAAGCACATCGGCAACACGACCATCCGGGTGTTTATCCCGTCCATCGGCCCGCCCAAACTGTTCCCGGGCGTTGCGCTGAAGCAGTACACGAAGCTACCCGACCACCGCCCTCCTCTTCGCCGCGACAAGCCCGTTCGGATTTCCATCCCGTACCATGACCCGCCCGTCATGCCGCGCTACATCTTCCCCGCGAGCGACAGGTCGTTCATCTTCATCCCACGGGCAATGCGACCGAACCAGCAACGGACGCGGGGCAAGGGCCCGCGGTCTGTGATGGGGTCAGGGGTATTCTCCCGCGGAACGAGCGTCTGGGGCGGAAGCGTCTATGGGAGCATGTACTCGCCCAGCATCGCCCTCAGCCGCCGGTCGTCGATTGCTCCCGATATTGGCCGAGAGTTCATGCTCTCGCCGACAGGTTCCGCCATCTCGCGACCTCCTCTTCCGGTCGACACCGCGAGGCCCGTCGTCCGCCTCCCCCCTCTTGCTCAGCCGCCGGTACCTGCTATGTCCATGCCTCCCCGGCCGGATGCTTATCAGAGGGTACCGGAGACGTCCATCAACGAGCTGCCACAGCCCCAGATGCACCCTCTTCCTCAGAAACCCGCGTTTCAGGAGAGCCGAGCAAACGCCATCCCCATGCACCAACCACGGCCGCAGAAAACTGTCTCGGTTGAGAACATCGAGCCGCCCGTTCAACCGGCCACAGGCGCGCCGCAGCCGTACCAGCAAGCCTTCCATCAGCAGGTTCCGCCGCAGCTGCCCAGCGCCTACGCCCAAGATTCCCACGTCCGTCATCCTTCCTTCCAGTCCCAGTTCTCGTCATCCACACCCCTGTCTCAGATCCCGGAGCGCGCAGTCCATGCTGCCCCGTTCCAGCCCAACACATACGCCCAGCCCGGCTTTTACAATCAGCCATACGCGTCCATGCAGCCGCAGCAGGGGTTCTACTACCCCCAAGTATTCAACGGTAACATGGGCCCCAACGCAACCGCCCCCGCCTTCGTGCCCGCCGCGGCGCAACAGCAAGCCCAGCCCGTCCCGTACGCGCAACCTGCCCAGGGCGAGGCACCTGCTGCCCAGCCCGCCGGCCAAGGCACATCTCAACAACAGCAACAACAACAAAACATGGTGGACGCGCGCGAGTCCCAGGGCACCGTCTACTACGATTACTACGCCGCGCAGGCGCCCCCGATGCCGGGCTACCCGCCGCCCTTCCCCGGCGCGCCCCAGCCCTACACCGCGGGGCCCGGCATGGTCGGCATGGCGGCGGCGCCCATGATGACGCCTAGCCCGGACACGTTTTATTACCAGCAGCCGATGGTCTACTATCCCCAGTAGAAAGGGGGGCAAGTAGCCGCGTTTACGCCGTCGTCGAACGAGTGGTCTGCTAGGCGGGATGGGGGTGATGATGGATGGGCTGAGGAGGGGGTGAATGGGGGGCGGTGAGAGAAGGAGGGAGGGAGGGTGGTGGTGTGTGGGAAAGGGGAAGAGGAGGGCTGATTGTCTGTCTGACTGACTGAGGGAGGAAGGGAGGGAGGAATGGTGGATATTATGAGCTTTCGGAGGATGGATGGGATGCAAAGAAAAAAACCGTCGGAATGATTCTTATCGTCATCATCATCGTCATCGTCAAAGAAGAACCTCGCTTTGTTACGAACGACTACCTTACCTACCTTACCTTACCTAACCTTACCTACGCTACTGGACACTTGTTAGGAAAGATGAAAGAATCAGTCAGTACCCTAACCGACTCAGGACAGTCGAA